GGTAATTTGGTGGGGGTCTCGAAGGGGATGGGGATTGGGATGGGGGTCGGTTAAACGATACTGAGTACACGTATATTAGAACGTCATTCGTTGCTGCGCCCGTGCCAAGTGCAAGCTCAGAGCAGACTGCAAGATGACCGAGGCAAAAACGTTGGCCATGTTCCATGGGTAACTCTGCGCACCCTGGGCTCAAAGCTTTCCAGAGGCAGGGCCCCGACCCGCCATGGCAATATGGCGCTAGTGAACTTAAGACTGAACATTTCCTCAGTGTGGAGGACTCAGGGTGAAATATCTATGGGCTCTTGCACCTCGAAAATCAATCGGCCATGTGATTCACCGCTGGCAGATTCAAGCCTCGAAAATTTATCGAAACGGCATTTCCGATTTCACCCTATGCCCTCCACCCAGAGAAGATGCTCCGAAAGAGCAGAAGCCACCCCGAGAAGAGCGCAGCTTGGACAGACGGATACTGATACAACCACCCCACGTCTGGGCACGAGCGCGTTTCCTCCAGCAGGTCCCCAACGCACCGACGTCCAAAACGAGGCACCGAGAAGAAGGGAGAGAGCGGCGAGTCCAATGAGAGGGGACGCGGACCGCCACACGGAGGAGGCAGAGACCCCCAGACGCAAGCAAGCTCAATTCTTTTGGAAAACACAACTGGCTGTTGCCGTGATGGGAAACGGCCAGAACTCGGCCCGGAAGGCCTGGAGGTCCCCAGATTGCGAGGGCCGAACAGAGCCTACATTAGCTGGAATTCGGGGGTCCGCGGCGTGGCTTGCGACCACGAGTTGCAAGGCGTGCCCAGCCACACGCCCAGCACCAGCCCCGAGGCGACCCAGCCGAGAAGGCTGCGCTGGATCACGGGGCGATCCAAATCGAACCGCGGCACATAGCCCACTGTGTTTTACCACGCCCCAGCTGAACCCCTCGGAGCCTGCAGATAATCAAACAACACATCTGCCGTTGTGTTGCGAGGGGCCGCCGAATGCGCAGCACGGAACAGAGAGCACACGCGGGCGAGGACCTGATGATCAGCTAATCTGCTCTCAGGATTTGATGGGCCTGTTTTCCACCACCACCACCACCACCACCACCATCAGTTGGAGGGGGGAAGGAGGAGGAGGACAAGGAGGGAGGAGGCAGAGGAGGAGGAGGGGGAGGTGGAGGAGGAGGAGGAGGAGGAGGAGGAGGAGGAGGACCCCCTCCCCCTCCAACTTACAGGTGGTGGTGGAACACAGGCCCATCAGGATTCCCTGGGCCGCCGGCGGCGCGGGCGGGCTCGGCACCGAGGCCGCGCCGGCGAGCGCGTCGGCTAGCCGGGCCGAGGCGCGGCTGCCGAAGAGCACCACCGCTGGAGGCGCCCTGCTCGGCTCCGTGAGCGCCGTGAGCGCGCTCGTCGGCTCGGCACCTATCTGCCGCGTCGGATCCGAAGCCACGCGCATCCAGAGCTTCGCCGCCAGCGGGCTCCGCGAGCGGTGGAGAACGTCGCGAGACGCTCCCCCGTGGCGCAGCCCGTGGTGCGTGATCGCCAACGGCGCCAGCTGGAGCCTCCCGCGGGTGGACTTGTCGCCGGTTGTTGGGTTGAATCCCTGGGGGCAGTGTGGAGCTACGCAGAACGTGCAACCACACAATACCTCGATGTCATTGGGTTCTTCCGAACGTGGGACTGTCCCAAACTTCTCAGCCCCTGAGGAGTCCAGCGGAGCTGCGTCCTACGCGGGCCCAAATGCGATCTCCTCCCCCGAGTGTTGGACTGTCCCCGGCCTCTGAGTTCTTGGGGAGCGCAGCGGAGCTGCGTCGTTCGCGGGTCCAAACGAGAACTTGCTCCCCTCGGCGCTCCCGAGCGCGAGACAGTCGACAATTTCTGAGGCCCTGGAGGGACCTGCGGAGCGGCGTCATCGTGGGATCCAACGAGAGAAGACTCTGCACCCATGGGTGCGTTGAAACGCAGCAATGAACTGATTGACCGCGCCACTGGTCATGTGTCACACTGCGTCGCCTTACCTCCTCGAATGTTAAAGGCGTCAACATCGTTTCCATACGGCCTCCCCGTAGCCCCAGACGGCGCCTGGAGGGCCACGAAGCCCCGCGTAGGTCAAAAGATGCATCGAATTTCTGAGCTCTCGCCCTGCCTGCACCGACCGCCCAGCAATGCAACTGCAATCGGCGCAAGTGGATCACGCGAGAAGAACAAATAGCGGGAGGCAGCAGAGGCAGGAGCAGCATGAGGGCAATGGAACAACTGAGGAGCATGGAGGCGAAGAGACAGCACGGAGCGATCGGGATGTTTGCCACAGCCGACACACAGGCTCGGCGTACAACAGCTGCTAGCTACGGGATTGAAATCTGTGACACAACAATCAGAACTACGTGAAGATACAGATCATCCGTGGATGCATCCCGCTGCGGGCCACGAAACTGGTCAGGGAGACGCGGCGGCAGCGGGCAACGAGACGACGCGGAGGGACACACGAAGGCATGGGTGGAGCGAAAAATCCTGCACCGTGCATGGTTTTCTTGGGGAAGATGGGCAGCTGCTGGAGAGTGAGGCGTAACATCAGAGAGGTCTCCCAGATGGGGTCACCGTAGATAGGGGCGCCATCTGGGAGGCCGAGCTATACTCACACGGCACGGAGATCCCCGAATGTGCATCACTTTCCAGCGCGTTTCTTATCTGAGAATCCAAGAACAAGCGAATATAAGAGCGATCGAACCCGAATACGAGCGCATGCCTACAAGTGACTGAGCGTACTGGCACCCAGATGTGAGTGGACCTGGGCAGCGAGGCAGCAGGAGTATATGTGGCAAGCGGGTCTGGTATGGTTTGGCTCGAGTGTGGATGGATGGGGATACGACCAAGTCCTGGACCTTACAGAAGACCCTGCAACATGTGCGCATGGCAAGTTCCCCCAAATCCGAGCTCGGATGGGATACATCCGTCGGTCTGGTAACAATGCGAGGCATGTGTGGTCCCATGATGAGGGGTGCGGTGCAAAGGTCCAAAGCCAGATCAAAACACCTCGAAATCCCGCTGCCGACTACATTCGGCTGAACCGTCTTGATCCTCAACAAATAGAAAAATGGCATCGTGCAATGTGCACTCTCTGATGTGGGGAATGGAATGCACCGTGGTGCAACAGCTTGATCCGCTACCCGTGCAAGTCTTGGCAGAAGGGAATGTGGTAAGGTTCCCCGTAGCAGGTTGCCCACGCCCCGTCGTAGCTGGAGCCATACAGATCGCGGAACACACTGCGATGTACGAAACGGGAGGAGAAACGGAAGAGAAATGCCGAACCGCTCGCAATAGAGCATACCGGCCAAAACGACACTGACCTAGACACGATGTCCACCCGGGGCGCATGATCCCTTCCCGAGCGCCGGGAGGAGTGCTAAGGGGCCTGGCTTATTCCGAATACATCCGAATGAGATTTGAGAAAGCTCTAAGACGATCGTTGTGGATCGGGTATTGCTGCCAGCAGCAATCGGCAGTGCTAACGTACGCAGCCGCAAAGAACGCAACACCGCCTCTGTAGAACGCGCCCGAGGTTTTCATGTGGCACTGAACGAGTGGCTCGCAACATCGCAAGTGCTCGCGATGGCGTAGTGGTACACAACGGTGACGGGACCAGAGTTTAGACTGGAGCGGTGGGGGCAACGCCGATGGGGGGCGGTGGGAGGTGCAATAGTTCGCTTGCGCGAACTATTGCGCGAGCGAGAACAAGTGCTGGGGGGCGGCACGAACGATTACAAGTGGCGTAAATTCTTGCGTTTGGAAGAGTGCACGATTGCATACACGCGCAAATATTGCGTCCACACCTCAAACTGTGTACGCTATCCATGCAAAAACTGTTGCAAACACTTTTGCACGTGCTCTGACCCCCCCCCAATCTGCGCTACCCCACTACTCCGGCTCAACGCGCCCGAGGCTTTCATGTGGCACTGAATAGCGGCTCACGACACCCCAGATGCTCAAGATGGCGTGAAGACGCTGAACTAGGGACCGCTTTGGGTTCGCAAGGGGCTCGCTGCTTTGTGGGTCATTCCGCGAGATGGCATGGCGACCTCACGTGGTGGCTTACGCGGGCCGCCAGCGTGGCAGCCTGCACTGAAGACGAGGGTGCTCACGCACGCGCTCACGCGGGCAGCTTCCGCAGGAATGTCGGCGCAGACGACCCCGCTTCATGCCGTCGCTCATCTGAGCGACGCAAACAAAGAGGTCGTCTGCGCCAGGGCTGAACCTAAACGGTGTTTTCCGTTTTCGTTTGTTTTCGTTTTCCCTCGTTGTGTCTTCGATTCGTCTTCACCGCAAAACGAAACCAAAACGAAAACGGACCAGGAAATCTCTAAAACACCGTTTAGGTCCAGCCCAGGTCTGCGCCGACCTGGGCGCGCAAGCTGCTCGCGCAAGGCCGCGCGTGAGCGCCCTCGTCGGCAATGCAGCGGGCCGCGCCTGCGGCCCGCGCAAGCCGCCGCGCAAGGCCGCCGTGCCCTCTCGCGTCAGGCCCCCGTTGGATCGTCGCTCCTCTGGCGCCCCTCACAGGACCACAAGAAACCCTCCACAAGAAGCCCGACCCTGAGACCCCAGGACGTCCGCTGACTTCTGGTGTGGGAATGTCACGCCTTCCACAGCAAAAACATCGGAACCCAATTTGGACGCCCGAAATGGGTACGGGGAAAAATTGCACAATGGCCAACAACAACTGTTGTCCCGAACCAACAGCGGTCGCTGTTGGGCAGGCGGCCTTCTGTCTCAAATGAACACAGGCCGCGGCGGCGCGGACAGCGAGTCCTGTTCAAAATGAACAGGGACTGCTGCTGTTCACTGTACCCATTCTTTCCGTACCCATTTCGCTCGTGCCGACCCGAGAAACCCAGGGCACCCCAGAGGCAAGCAGGGTGCTTCCTGGCATGGCCCTCCACTGCACCGCAGCAGCTTGGCTGCGAGGGTGCACGCAGGTGCCGTGGCCGGGGGGGCCCTCGCGCACGGGCTGCCGCCCTCACTGAGGGCGGGCCGGCGCCTGGGCCGGCGTGGCCTGCGGCCGGCGCGCCCGGCACACCGAGGGGGCCGAGGCGCGCCGCTCGACAGAGGTGCCGAACTCCCAGCCGACGATCTCCTCGGGAGGCGGGTCCCCCCTGCGAGGCGGGGGTTTATCCGCATCCACCGCCTGGGAACCGACGTCCTGGTGCCCCAGCGGGCGGTGGATATGGATACATTTGGGCCCCTGGGGGCCCAAATATGTCCATATCCACCGCCTGCCGAGATCCCCGAAAATTGATCCTCCAGGCGGTGGTCATGTGTAAGTTCCCGCCTCGGACCTCACCCTGAGATGAGGCCAGGAGGAGGGCAACTTCGGGTGAGGCTACACCCCCGGATCTTGGCGCTGCGGTTTTCGCACAGCGGGCGCTTTCGCCGAGCTTCGGGCCTCGGGACCCTCGCAGATCGAACAAGCTCGTTCAACGACGCAGAATAATGTGGTCTGAGGTTCTGATCGTCATTTCTTACGATGGTCGATTTCTTCGCGACTTCGGATCTCAGAGGATTTCGACAATCTCGGTGAGGATGTCTCGGAAGCCAGGGAGCGCCAGACTGGGCGCGAGGAGCACTCGGGATCGGATCGTTGGCAGCGCGGGACGGCTTGGCCCCCGCAGGCCGGAGAGAGAATATGTCCGTGCCATGTCGGATCGGATCGGATCGGAATCAGAGATTGGGGATCGACTCGGATCAGATCGGAGCGTGCACACAACCCTGCCTGCTCATTCACCGCTGCCCTGCCTGCTCCAGCTTCACCCTGCCGTGCTCCACCTTCCACCTGCACCTTCATCCCATCGAAAACGACCAACCAGGCCTGTCCCACCTTCACCCCCGAAAGCTCTCCAGAGCTCTCAGCAGCGATCAGCCGACCCCGCCCTTACCAGACCCCCACCACGGACCTGCAGCAACAGTAGCAGCCCCTTCCTCCGTGCTCTCCACATCCCCTCCCTGACCCCCCCCTCTCCCACCTCTGACGGGCAATGATAGAGGGGGGCTGGCATAGGGGGGGAACCTCGACCTGGAACCTGCGATACATCGCCGATAGATCGCCGATGGGCCCCCGATAGCGAATACGCACGCGCTGTGTGGGCAATCGGGCCTGTATCGGCGATGAATGGGCGATGCGGAGTCGATGCAACCCCCCTGAGCCTCTCCCCCCGTAACGGTAGGCCAGATTTCGGAGAGAAGCTCGCCACCACCTACGCCGCCCAGGGAGTGCAAGTATGAACAGGAACGGGTGTGTCGACATGGGCGCGGGGACGCCATGCGAGCACGCCCACTGAGGCCAGAGATAGAGCTCCCTGCCGAGCACGAAACGTGCGAGCATTGTGCCGAAATGGTTGCGGAAACGCCGTGCGAGCGCGCCCACTGGTGCCATAGGTGGAGCTCCCATTGCACCTCGAAACATGTAAGCAGTGCGCAGAGATGGGCGTGGGGACGCCATGCGAGCACGCGTGGGGCAACGACTCGCGTGAGGGGTGTGCCGAAATGGACTCGTGGAGGCCATGCGAGCACGCCCACTGCTGGGGCCATAGGTGGAGCTCTCTGCCAGGCACGAAGCGTGTGAGGGGTGTGCCGAATTAGGCGCGGGGACGTCATGTGAGCACACCCGCTGAGGCCATCTGTTGGGCTCCCAGTGGGCGAGGGGTGTGCCGAAATGGGTGCTGAAAGCAATGCAAGCACGCACACTGAAGCCTCGGGTAGAGCTCCCTGTGGGCCACGAGCCTGGACCGGTACGGGAACGGAGAGAGCGCCGCAGGAAGTGGCCCGAGATGGCTCATGGCACCCTTCGCTTTTGGGAGCCTTGGCGTTCAGAGCTTGTTGCGTCATCGCTCTCTGTTGGGAGCCCTGGTGTTCAGAGATTTCTACGTTGCCGCTCGCTCTTGGGTGCCTTGCTGTTGAGAATCTTTTACGTCACCGCGCTCTGGGGAGCCTTATTGTTCAGAGTTTGTTACGCCACTGTTCGCCATTGGGAGCCACGGTGTTCCTTGGCGTCTCTGGGCATTCTTGGGAGTCTTCTAAACCTCATGAGGGCCGTCTTGAAACTCTTGGGGCCAGCCCAGTCCCCGCGCCCAAGCAGCCCAGTCCCCACACCGCCTCTTCGGGCCCTCTTGGGAGCCTCTGTGGGCCCTCTTGGGGCCCTCTTGGCCCGTCTGGGTGCCCTCTTGGGCCAGCTTGGGTCCAACACAGACCCCGCACAAAAACACCCCAGTCCCTACACCGCCTCTTCGGGCCCTCTTGGGAGCCTCTTGGGGTCCTCCTGGGGCTCTTTTGGGGTCGTCAAGGGACCCTCTTGGGCCTTTTTGGGACGCTCTTGGGCCGTCTGGGGGCCCGCTTGGACCGTGTCCGGTCCCTTTGGGAGGCCCCTGGGGCCGCATGGGAAGATCGTGAGGGCCTCTTGGACCGTCTTGGGTCCTTCTGGGCCCGAAACGGCGAGAACCCGAAAAACCTTCAAACACCTAAGGAAGACAACTGTTGTTGGTTTCTTGAGACCCTCGGGGGGGCCCCTCTGGAAGGCCTCTGGAGCTGCCTTGACGCTCTTTTTGACCGTCTAGAGGCCATCTGCAGCTCTCTTGGGGCCGTTGTTTGGCCGTTTTGGGGTCCTCTCGAAACGGCCTGGGGTCATTGAGCCGCTTCTTTAGAAACAAATGCAAGGAAACGGGCCATGGAAGGCGCCCGGGAGCCGCTTCAATCGACAAATACGAAGGAAGCGGCCCCCGGGAGGCCATCACACCCATGCTCGCCCCCCTCGCCCCTCCCCTGGGCCCCTCCCTAGCGGGCTTCGGCCACTCGTGCCTCGTTTGTCCCGTCATCGCGCGAGGGGTGTGCCGAAATGAACGCGGGGAGGCCATGCGAGCACGCCCACTGATAGAGGCATAGGCGGAGCTCCCAGTAGACCACGAAACGTGCGAGAGGTGTGCAACATTAGCGTTGGGACGCCATGGGAACAAGCCCTTTGGGGCCATAGGTGGAGTTCCCGATGGGCCGCGAAACGTGCAAGTTGCGCGTCGACGTGGACGCGGGGGACACCATGCGAACACGCCCACTGGCACCATAGGTGGAGCGCCCCGTGGGCCACGAGACATGAGAGCAAGCAAGCAAGCAAGCAAGCAAGAAGCCTGGCGCCCAAACGGCGCATCGGCACGGGGGGGAACTGGCGCCCCACGCAGCTCACGCCTTCCTCAAGGCAGCGCTGCGTAAACGCAGGGGGGCCATTGCTGCTCAGGCCTCCCGCGTGAACGTTTCTCGCTCCAGGTTCGAGGCAGGTTCGAGTTTGCTTCGCGCGTAAGCCTGCGCAGTGGGTGCTCCTCAGGAAGAGCGGCAATCTCATCGTAGAGCTTCTTCGGGCGCTCGAGCAAGTCCTTCCTCAGATCGTGCTCCCCGGTCCGCTCCAACACGCTGCGGTTCTGAACTCTTGAGACATAGGCGCACGGGATGCGACATAGGTTTCTCAGACGTTGCACGTGGAAAGCAATCAGTTTGTCCTTGTCCTTGTCCGCCTGGAGGGCCGCACAGATGCCAAGATGCACAGCAGCTTCGGCACCGCAGTCGCTCGACACAGCTGCACTTTGCTTGCAATGTTTATATTTGCGCGAGGCCAACATCGTTCAACAGATTGGAACACCCCCCCCGGCCTCATGTAGGCCCCGGGTGAACTCCGGCTTTGCAGTCCAAATTGTGTCGAGAAGACCCCCGAAGTACGCGGCACGTTCCGTGTTCCGAACCCTCATGTGGACGGTATTCTTCCAATTCAGCTCTAGACCAGACCGCTTCCCCTCATTAGTGACCGCATCGAGCAAGCTCTGAAGCTGGTCAGCCCAGCTGCCGGCGAGCGTCGCGTCGTCCGCGCACAACAAGACATAATACATCATGACATCTGGCTCCTAGACTGTCGGGCGCGCGCCCTCCATGCGCGCGCAAACATCGAAGACAAGAACAGTTTGAACTATGACGGAGAGATAAGGTGAAAATGGACAGTTTTGCGCGATGCTGGCACGTTGCCAGCGCTCGCCTGAGTCCCCAGATGAATCTTGGAGAACGAAGTTCCGTTCGCGAAAGATGCCAGCAACCATGTGCACAAAAAATATGGTATCCCGAATCTCCGAAGTGCCTGCAGCAAGACACTGTGCTTGATTATGTAGAACGCCTTCGCCCATGTCCAACATAGCTCTCACTAGCCCCAGAGACTTCGAAGCATGCGCCGCCAGGATCGCCTGCACGGTGCCCTGTTTGGTCTAAATCCGAATTGGGTCGATCTGACTCTGCCTTCGGCGCCGCCTTGTTGCAGTCGACGTTGAAGCATCCACGCGGAGGTCTTATAACGAACAGGGAGTAGGGATATCGACCGGTAGTTCTCTGGGAGGCTGTTGTCACCCTTCTTGAAAAGCAGCGCCGCGCGCGCAGTCCTCCGCTCCGCTGGGATGTCTTCGCCCGCCCAACACCTCTGAAATAAGGGCATCAAATTTGCCATGGCCTCCAAAGATCCCGACAGCATCTTCCATAGCTCCAGCGGGGCTCAACCTATCCCCGTTGCTTTTCCGACGGCAAGAGCTCGCAGGGCGGCCGTCAGCTCGATCATGCTAAACGGAGAAGTGACAATCGGCAGAGCATCGCCAATCTTCTGTGTCCCAGTAGGCACCAGGTCCGGATGGGCGAGCTTCCATTGCAAGCGTCCGAAGTAGTCTGCCAGTGCGTCTGCCCGCAAGCTGCTCCCCACCAGAAGCCCTGAAACGCTGCGTATCTTAACTGGCTTTTTGGGTGGTCCCTTCCACAGCCTACGCAGTGCTGCCCACGGACCTCCCGCAAGCTCGTCGTCGAGCCAGCGCTGATTGCCTAGTTCCACAGAAGCTCTGATGCGTTTCGTTTGCACTGTCTTTTCCTCTGGGTTGCCCGTAGCCCTGACTTGATCTCGCTCTGTGAATCGATCCAGGGTTGATTGGCTTATCCATGGTCTCCGAGGCTTCCTAACCGAGGTGTTCAACAACTCTTTCCAGGCAGATTGCATGGCTGTGCGAATGGCAAGGGCGTGTTGGTCCAGTGCCAAAGTAAGCGCCAGAACCTCCACTGCAGTGCAACATCTTAGCTGGTAGTCCTCCATGGCGCCTCTGTCAGAAATCAGCACATGCGCTAAGCTGCGCAGGGGCATTGGGGTGGGAGCACCCAAAAATAACTGCAAACGCAACTGGGTTAGAAAGTGCCCGGTTGCCAATGGGATTGTTCTGTCCGGCCACAAGCCCTGGATCCAATGCGTCGTGCTGGCATTCAACAAGCAATGATCCATTTGCAAAAACCAACCTCGTTTATGTCATCCATCTGATTCACCTGCGGTGATAAAGTACATCATCAAATTCTCGTCGGGTAACTCGAAGAAGGTGTAAGCGGTCATTGTATCCGTAACCCGGCATATTTCCAAGAGTAGTTCCCTGTTCGTCCTCTCCCGGATCTTCGGCCACCTGCATACGAACACACAGTTGCCAACGATGGCATCCTCTCCAAGGTCTTTTGGTCAAAGCTTCGTTTTGAAATCACCCATTGCGATTGAGGCAATGTGTTTGCCTGCTGGTTGCCACACGTTCGACAAAGCATCGAAGAACTCACTCCTCATGTCGATACTATATTGGATGTGGAGCGTAGCATCAAATAACCAGAAGAGCCCCACCATGAACTTTGAGCTTCATGGTGACAGGCAAGTCGGATATCTGTTTGAAGCTGATGGGTGCTCCTGCCGCGCGTAGCGCAATTATGAAACCGGCGCCAAAATAGAAGCGGCCTCCGGATGATCCGATGAGCCTGAAAGAATAACCACAAATCCATTGTGAATGAAATGTGGTGTCTCATTTATCCCTGTCTCCTGGATGCACGAAATATCGATGCCGAGGCGTTTACTGCGTCCCAATGCGCATCCAGAGCGGTGTCTCCAACGATCTTGCTCGTCGAGCGGCTCCGAGGGTCGGGTGGTCGCGATGGTAGCTTTGCCCTTGTCCGCGGCTCCCAGAATCGAATCATTACTTGTGAGAGGTGCCACTTGCTGACCAGAGCGTTGCCAGCGACGGCTGAAACTTCCGTCGTGGGGTTCTGGGTGCAGTAGCGAAGGCGGAAGACCTCCTCCCAAGTATACCGAAAATTGATGCTCGGAATCATGATGTTCAATAAAAAAGGTATCTTCGGCTCCGGTGCCGGCCTGGGCTGGCACCTGCCGCGATCCCTATTTGGATCCCTTGCCTGCTCCTTTCAGTCCCCTCAGAGAGCGTTCAAGTATTCCTTGGCACTTGTCGACAAGATCCTGAGGTCGAAATGTGCGAGGGGTGTGCCGAAATGGGCGCGGGGACGCCATGCGAGCACGCGCATCCAGGGCCATAGGTGGAGCCCCCTATGGAGGCACGAGCCGCATGAGAAGCATGTCGAACATAATGCAGCAGAAGCAGCAGTAGCGGCAGGGATGGGAGGAGGGCAGAGGAGACTGAGGAAGAGAAGGGAGGAGGAGGAGGAGGAGGAGGAGGAGGAGGAGGAGGAGGAGGAGGAGGAGGAGCGGGAGGAGAAGGAGGGAGAAGCGCGCCACTGCGGATTCAAAGCGATGATCCAAAACAGGAGTGTTGGAAAAAACAAGACACCGCGGCTGCCCGCTGCCCGCAGCCCAGCCAGAACGAGCACGACGACCATGGCAAATATTGAACGCAGAAACGTCGGTGCCGATCTTAGTCATTGCCCATCTTGGTCACCGTCGATTCGTGGATCATCCTCGCACATCGGCGGCAGCCAACATGGACCATGACCGAATTCGGCGTCGACAAGCTCCCGCGACGTCTTGGTCGTGGCCAACGTGCTTCTGCCCTCGGCACCAGGGCGGTGGTGGTGGTGGTGGCAGCCCTTCTACCTCCGGTCGCTGTCCCTCGACCCTCGATGCGTCGAGCTCGTGCCGTGCCCCCTTCGGCGCTGGCTTCTGCCACCGCGGGGACCCTTCAACCTTGGACAAATTGTCGGCCGTCTCCGAAACGCCCAAATCGTGCCAGCGGCGTTCAACGCTGAACGGCGCTGGCGGGGTCGCCGCCGGTCAACACGACACAACCCTGCCGTACTCTGAAAGGAGCTCGGTCGGCCCAGGAGCTCGGTGTGTAGACGCCCCAGCTTCCCTGGCCCGTGGGACGGTAGAGCGTCTATACACCGAACTCCTTCGCCGAACTCTTTGGCTCCTCGGCCGACCAAGCGGCGTGGAGCATACCTCGAGCCCCTCCAGCACTCGAACCTCGCCTCTCGATCTTCCACGTCTATCGCCGTCGTGGATCACTCCCCGTACCTCCTTGCACGCCAACGTGGATGCGGAAAAGTGGGCACGATGCCCAACGATAAACGATACCCAAAAGCGACGGCGGCCGCTGGGTGGCGTGCGGCCTTGTGCCTCAAATACACAACGCACGCGGCGACACCGACAACGACCTCTGTTCAACATTGGCACGAACTGTCGGCTGCCTTTCGGCTCATGACTCGGGTCCCCGGAGGCCAGGTCGGGACGATCCAGGCATCCCCAGAGCGCTCTCGGCGAGGCGCACCTGCTGGAGGCGTCCCGAGGCGGGAAACCCTCCCGGAACGCACGAAGACGCTGGAAAGAAGTCTCGAATCGCCGCCCCCGGTCGTCCCGTGCCCATCTCGATCGTGCCAGCCTCTGCCCCTCCGCCGCTGCCTCCACTGCCTGCCGAGCTCTCCCCCCCCGCCCCTGCTTTGCCCGTCCAGGTGGTGGTGGCAACCCCAGCTCATCCGACCCATTCCCCGCCACCCCGTGCGACCAGCCACATCTGGGGGAGCCGTGCTCCTTGCACACCCCCAGGAACCCGTCGTGTCGACACTCCCTCGAAAAAGGGTCTCGAAGTCAGCGGGCCCCCCGATGGCGGTGTTGTGAAGACCGCAGCTACCGCTTCCGCTGCTCGCCAAACCTCTCCCGGGATGCGCTCCGACCAGTATGTCGAGGGGAATCCAGCGGTGGCGAGGAGGGTCTCCCAGGAGGCTAACAAAAATGAGGGAGGGGCAGCCGTATCGCTGCCTCTTTCTCCTCTGGGACCCCCTCGCCCCAACCAGCCCGCCCCCCCACCCCGGGCTCCTCGGACGGGGGGCGCGACCCCAGCGAGCGCATGACGCCCGTGAGTCCGCCGTCGAAGGGGCTGGGCACCTGGGCGGGAGTAGGGAGGCGGAAGAGGAAGCAGGGGGAGAGGGGGGGGAGGTAAGGCAAGGAGGAGCGCGCACGCAGGGCTGGGAATAACCTAAAGGGGGCCCCAACTTCAAGCTACCCCCCCCTGTCCTCCCTTGGACAAAAGGGAAAGCTTCCGAAGCTACCCCCCCTCCCTCCCTTTGGTCGGCATCTTCTATCGGAGGGGGGGCCCAGCGTAAGGAGGGGAGGTCTTGGAAGCTACCCCCCTTTCTCGGAGCCCGGGTAAACCCAGGCTCGCTTTCCAAGGAGGGCAGGGGGGCTTCCGAAGCTACCCCCGCCTCCTTCATGTTGTTGAGATGTTGTAGCTGGGGGCTCCCTGGGTAAAAGGCAGGGGGGGGGGGGCTTGGAAGCTACTCTCTCCTCTCCCTCCCTTCCCAGAGGGGTGGGATTCCGAAGCTACCCTCCCTCCTTTTGTCGGCAATTCTAGCTAAGGGGACCCTGGCTGAAGGGGGGGCTTCGAAGCTACCCACCCTTCTCTCTGTTGGAGCCGAGGGTCACACCAGCCTCCTCTTTCCAAAGGAAGGACTTGGGAAGATCCCCTCTCTGGCGCCACTTTGAGAATTTGGGTGTCAAGATTGAAAAGATCGGGGGTTTCAAATGTCATGGAGACGGGTCTTGAGTATATGGGGTTACGGCGAACCTTTTGTTTTCGGCGCCCCTTTGGTGTTAGGCGCCCTCTTGGTTTTCGGCGCCCCTTTGGTTTTCGGCGGCCTTTTGGTGTTCGGCGTGCTTGGTTTTCCGGCGACCCCTTTAGTGTTCGGCGCCCCTTTGGTTTTCGGCGCCCTTTGGTTTTCGGCGCCCCTTTTTGGTGTTCGACGACCTTTTGGTTTTCGGCGTCCTGGGTTGTTCGGCGCAACTCTAGTGTCTAGTTTTCGGCGCCCTTTGGGTTTTCGGCGCCCTTCTGGTTTTCGGCGCTCCTTTGGTGTTCGGCGCCCTTTGATGTTCGGCGCTCCGGTTGGCGCCGCTTCTGGGCTTCGGCGCCCTGTTGGTTTTCGGCGACTACTTGTTTTCCACGCCTTTTTGGTGTTCGGGCCCGCTCTTTTGGGTTTCGGCGCCGTGTTGCTTTTCGGCGCCCCTTTGGTTGACACCGCCCCCTTTGGTTGTCGGCGACCTCGTGGTTTTCGGCGCCCGGTTGGTTTTCGGCGCCCCTTTGGTTCACGGCGCCCTTTCGGTTTTCGGCGCCCTGTTGGTTTTCGGCGCCTCTTCGGCTTCGGGCGCCCCTTTGATTGTCGTCGCCCCTCTGGCGTTCGGCGCCCTTTCGGTGTTCGGCGCGCCTGTGGTTTCTGACCCCCCTTTTGATTTTTGGCGCCCCTTTGGTTTTCGGCGCCCCTGTGGTTTTCGGCGCCTGCCTGGTTTTCGACGACTTCTTGATTTTCGGTGCCCCACTGGTGTTCGGCGCCCTTTTGGTCTTCGGCGCCCTTTGGTTTACGACGCCCTTTTGGCTTTCGGCGCCGTGTTGGTTTTCAGCGCCCCTTCGGTTTCGGTCGCCCCTTTGGTTGTCGTCGCCCCTTTGGTTTTCGGTGCCCTTCCGGTGTTCGGCGCGCCTTTGGTTTTCGGCGCCCCTTTGGCTTTCGGCGCACCTTCGGTTTTCGGCGCCCGTCGGTACGCCACCTTCAGCTGTCGGCGCCCTTTCTGGGTTTCGGCGTATTTGTGTTGCTCGGCGCCACTTTGGTTGTCGGCGCCCTTTTGGTTCTCGGCGCCCCGTTGGCGTTCGACCCCCAATTGGTTTTCGGCGCTCCTTTGGTTGTCGGCGCCCGTTTGGTTTTCGGCGTCCGATTGGTTTTCTGCACCCCTTCGGTGTTCGGCGACCCTTTGGTTTTCGGCGCCCCTTTGGTTGTCCTCGCTCTTTTGGTGTTCGGTTGTCGGCGCCCCTTCGGTTGTCAGCGCCCCTTTGGTTTTCGACGCCCCTTTGGCTTTCGGCGCCCCTGTAGTTTTCTCGCTGATTGTGGTTTTCGGCGGCCCTTTGGTTTTTGGCGCCCCTCTGGTTTTCGGCGGCCTTTGGTTCGGCGCCCCTAGTGTTTTCAGCGACTGTGTGGTTTTCGGCGCCCCTTTGGTTTTCGGCGCCCCTTTTTGCGTTCATCGCCCCTCTGGTGACCGGCGCCCTTTCAGTTACTAGTCCCCTTTTTGGTTTACGGCGCTCCGCTGGCTTTCGGCACCCCTTTGGTTCCCCGGCGCCGTTGATGCAACTGTTGGGAAGCATGCCGGGAGTGAACGCAGTTGCGGAGGCGAGACGGTGTTTCCCAGGGCCGCGAGTCGGCCAGTAGCACGTCCTTGAGACATATTTTGCCATGGGCCCTGAGCCCATAAGAATTCATGCCTCTGAGGCGCCGGAGACGTCCTCCCCGTGAGCTACACCATGTGCATCGTCAACGATGGTTTTACAGAACGCCTGGGTGGCTTACGCGCTGCCGCTGATGCGGCCCTTTTCCAATAGCGAGGCTTACAATTGATTCCTCCACAGCGTGACGCTTACAACGACAGCGCCTACACCGGCACCGACGCCAGCACCGACGCCAGCACCGACGCCAGCACCAACGCTGGCGCCTATGCCAGCGCCGACGCCAACGCCTACACCAGCACCGACGCCAACAACAACGCATGCGCCTACGCCGGCACTAGCGCCAGCGCCTACACCAGCACCGACGCCAGTACCAGCGCCAGGCCCAACGCCAGCGCCTACGACGGCGCCGACGCCAGCGCCTACACCAGCACCGACGCCAGCCCAAACGTCTGCGCCTACGCCGGCACTAACGCCAGCGCCTACACCAGCACTGACGCCAGCACCTGGTGTTCGACATAGTCTTCACGGTGCCCGTATCGATTGTTATCCGTGTTCTCGTTTGCAGTGAAACCAGCTCCCTATAATTAGGACCAGCTCGACTTCTACATGATCCACTTTCTGGTTCAGATGTTGCATCATGGTTGTCTTCATCTTTTGTGAATTAAGCGTGCGGTGTCTTTGCCGCTCTCGGTTGAGTCTTACGAGATGCGGATTGTCGACCATAACCGTGTTCTTCGGCGTCGACGGGCATACGATGCCTACGGGCATGCGCCAGGGCTCCAGGTCGCTTTCACGAGGTTCGCCATGGGTGGGTGCTGCTGGTGGCGCCGCGACTGGATTATGTGGATTGCTGTGGGCCTCCTTGGCCTGCGGCGTATTGGAAGGAGCAGTCATGTATCATTACGCAACCTACTGCCCACCCGGGAATCGCGTGGTGCAGGATCCCCCTGTGGGTGGTCACTCCGGCGGGTGCTCACAGGAGTTTGCCTTCTGGCTGCGTGCCAGATTGCATCGACAAGTACCGCAATTTCGGCACCCCTCCCCTTTGGTTTCAAGCGCCCCTTTGGTTTTCGGCGCTCTGTTGGTTCTCGGTCCTTCGAGTTTTCTTCGCCACTTTTGTGATCGGCGCCCTTTTTCGGCGCCCATTTAGCTTTCGACGCCGCTTTGGACTTCGGCGCCCCTGTGCTTTTCGGCGCGCGTTTGGTTTCCGGCGCCCTTTGGTCTTCGGCGCCCACAGTTCTCGGCGCCCTGATGCTTTTCGGCGCCTCTTAGGTTTTCGGCGCACCTTTGGTTTTCGACGTCCGTTTGGTTTTCGGCGCTCCTTTGGTTTTCGGATCTTTTGGTTTTCGGCGCCCCCTTTTCTGTCCTCGCCCTTTTGGTTTTCGGCGCCCCATTTGCTTCTGGCGTGCCTCAGGCTCTGGGCGCCCTTTTTGTTTCCGGCGCCCTTCATATGTTCGACTCTCTTGTGGCTTTCTGCACCCTTTTGGCTTGTTGGCGCTCCTTCGGTTTTCGGCGCCCCTGTTTGTGTCCGGCGCCCTTTTGGTTTTCGGCGCCCTTTTAGTGTGCGGCGCCCATTTTGTTTTCGGCACCCCTCTGGTTTTCGGCGCTCCTTTGGTTTTTGGCGACCGCGCGGATTTCGGTGCCCTTTTGACATGGCGCCCCCCCGTAGGCTGCCCCCCACGGGCTGATTCAGGGGGGCCCTTCTCGCCCCCGGACCGGCTAAGCATAATTGATGGAGCGCGCCGCCTGCATTTTAAACTGATTGACAGTCAATGCCCAAGCAGCAAGAAGCAACACGCCTAAGAATAATGACTTAGAACTTCGAGTCTTCTGTTTTCAAACAAGAGCAGCGCTGGAATTTCAAACCCCAGACCCGGTCGCAAAAATAATAGTACATGTAGCTTTGTCTGACAGATGTTGAGATTATTGGGTAGTTCTAGCTAGCCCTAAGTTGCCCCCAAAGATCCAAAAAGAAATAGCTAATCGATAAGGTTTCACAATCAGGGTGGCGTGCCAGTGGTAGGGTTAGGGGTATGGTTTTTGGGTTAGGGTTAGTGTTACGTTTGGGTGTTCGCGTTAGGGTGTCAGGGTTAGACTGTTCGGGTTCGGGGGCTTGGGTTAGGTTTAGGGTGTAAGGCTTACGGTGACAGGGTAGGGTAAGGGTGGTCGGGTTTATGTGTTAGGGTTCAGGTGAAGGTCTTTGGGCTAGGGTTACGATCCTAGGGTCAGGGTGCTAGGGGTAGGGCTAGGGTTTCGGGGTAAGGTTTGGGGTGTTAGGGCTGTGGTGTTATTAGGCTTATGGTGTGAGGGTTATGGTTAAGGCGTTAGTGTTAAGGTGTCAGGGTTAAGTTTGGGGCTAGGGTGTTAGGCTGTTAAGATTAGGGGTTAGGGTGTTAGGGTTAGGGTTGTAGGGTGTTCGGATGTTACGCTCAAGGTGTCCGGGTTCGGGCATGATTGTTGAGGCTCAACGGGCTCCTGAGGCGCGGGATTGCATCCGTGGCCAGGAAAGGAGGGAGAGGGGGGGGTCCAAACCCCTCCCAACCTTTTGCCAAAAAAAGGGGGGAAGGGGCTTCCCGCAGGGGGGCTTCCCGCAGGGGGGGGACGGGGGTGAGGGTAGCTGGGCCCCCCCTCCTTTGGAAAAGGGGTGAGAGGGGTAGCTTCCGGAGCGCGAAAGGGGGGAGGGAGGGGGGGGGGTAGCTTCCGCAGGGCGGAAGAGAAGGGGGGCGGGGCTTCCAGCAGGAGGAGTCCAAGGGGGTTGGGGGGTTAGATTCAGCAGCGAAAAATTGAGGAATTGGGGTGGGGTAGCTTCTGCGGGGCGGAAAAAAGGGGGGATGGGGGGGAGGCTTCGGGCAGATGAGGTCCAGGGGGGGGGGGGGGCTAAGGGGGTACCCCCCCCTTTGCTCTGGTCCTGCGTGCGCGCTCGCTCTAAGATCAGGTCAGATAAGAAGCAAACAAGAAACGTCAAAACCTAAAACTGCACGATAAAAACAACGAAATAGCCCTCCTCCTCCCTCTTCTCCAACTCCTCCTCCTCCTCCTCCCTCTTCTCCTCCTCCTCCTCCTCCTCCTCCTCCTCCTCCTCCTCCTCCTCCTCGTCGAGGTTCTGGCCCCCCACGCACCTCCTCGCCTGTGCCTCCAAGACGAAGTGCTGGAGAAGGGGGAGGGGGAAGACGGAAGGAAGGGGAGAGAAAGATATTTCTATATATATATACATGGGGAGGAACAGAGAAAGGGGGCGGGGGGTAAGCCAGGTGTGCTCGCGCCACATCTGACATCCTAACCCACCCCCCCATCCCTTCCCATGGCGCTGATCCGAAGGGGCCCAGGGACACACAAATAAATGTAACTCTATTCCTGGGGAAGCGACGTTTCATCGTGTCTGTCTGCTGTCCCCATCAGACGACGCTCGCCATAGCGGACCTGGAACTCGTGTTACGCACCGGGCGTGCTACGCACCAGGACCGCAACATCGCTCGGACGTCAACTTCCTGTGCGTTTTTCGACTTCGATGCCAAGGGAACAGCTGGAAACTGGAACAACAAGGGAAGCTGCGTGCTGGCCGCCCGAGAGGGTCAGCCCCGCGGGGAGCTGCGAGCGCCCGCCCCGGGGGTGAGGAGAGCCTCCTGCTGGGCGGCCTGGCGGGAGCAGCCAGCATCGCCTCGGGATATCGGAGCGACTCAGAACGCGCATTGGATCGGGCCGCATCGGCACGGAATCGGAATCGGATCGGATCGGCGGCGCCAGGTTGAAACACAGCGCCGTGCAAGCATCAGGCCGCATCGGATCGTTGGAAAATCGGTACCGACACGGGCCATCTGGATCGATGCCCAAACGGATCGGACCAGAATGGACCTTGGCAGAGGGGTGGGCAGCAGATCCGATGTGGTGACTTGTTCAGCACAGGGCCCCCCGAAATCCCGACCCCTTCCCCAAGGCCGGCTCTGAATCACGAATTCTGAGTCGTTCTTTGACGGCCCTGGGGCCTGGCGAAGGCCCCGAGAAAGCGAAAACGACGAACAAGCTACGGGGGGTGGAACACTGCCGCTACTCCCCAAACCTCTCCTGGGGTGCGTTCTGACCAGAATCTCGAGGAGAACCCAGCCGTGGTGACGAGGGACGAGCAGCAGTGTCGGTATGTATGTTGTCCTCCTCCTGCGAGCTGACCTCCTCGATGCGTCGGGGGTCCGGGGGCGGGGGGGAGGCCCCCCCACCTGAACGCGAGACAGACCTAAACCTGGGAGGACAGAGAGAAGCCGAGACCAGCTCCAAGACCTCATCTTCCCCATTGCCCTTGCGAGTGTGCTTTGAGCCAGATCGAGCCCGCCCTGGTTCACCGAATCGGAAAGACAAGGCAAGCATCGCTTGAACCCACGAGGACCCGGGCCCGCCAGCAAAGCCCACTCCCGAGAACCCAGCAGCCAGAGACGAGCGCTGGAGTCCGGAGCCTCCCCCCAAAAAAACATGGGCCCGAGGGGCAACGAAAGGGGGGGGGGGCTGGCCCAGGGGCGGAAACATCGACCTGGAATCGGCGATCCATCGCGGATGGATCCGCGATAGGCGCCCGAGAATGAATCCGAACGTTCCTGGGAGGGAGTGGGCCATTGGGCCCCGATGGGCGATGAATGGGCGATTGGGGGCCGATGCTTCCCCCCCCTGTGCAGCCACCCCCACTGCTGTCCCTGACCGAAGCCCCGATGGGCGGCGCCTCCCCGAGGCGGGCCGGAACCCCGAGGAGGGCGCCTCCCGCTGGAGGGTCCCGGGCCGCGCCGCCGAAGGCGGCGGGCGGGGGGGGGCGCCGCGGCGCGCTCGCCGCCCTCGAGGGAGGGCTCTCCGACGCGGCTGCCCGCAGGTGCCAGGACCGTGCAGGTTGGGCAAGAGCTGGCAGTAGCTTTCAGTCGGACCTGTCCCCCTACAGGGGGGATTTTGGTCGAAAAATGAAAAGTACTAGGAAAAAATACCTCAAACTGGTCCAAAAATACGCCAAAAGTAATCCCCGACTATTCATTCACTATTTTTGAATATTCCTCCTGCAGAGGGACTGGCCCCACTTCGCAGTAGCTCGTGTTCCATGTGTCGGCGACGGCTCGGGCTGTCCAGTTTGGGGAGGGGGGGAGGTGCCGGACGATGACCCAGCCTCTTCGCTTTGGGCAGCCCCCCACGTGTGCCCTCAGACCCGTACTTCTCTGGGGGGAGGGGGGGGCGGAGTCCCGAGGCGCGAGACCAGGACCTCCAGCGCGTTGAGAAAACTCACGGCTCGCAAAGATCTCAAACAGACAATGTGTGCACAATACTTTTTGTCCTGGGTGCAATCTGCTAGGCCTTGGGATCCCAGACTGGCAATTGGCGCCCCTGGGGGCCCCTGGGGGCCCTCGCCAAGCCGCGGGACTGCCAGAGAGTGGCTCAGGATGCAGAGCCAGCCCTGGCGAAAGGGACGGGTCTTCCGGGGGCCCCGTGTCTGGATCTTCGGAGGCGCAGGAAGGGGAGGAAGGCAAGCTAGGTGCGCTCGCGTCATATCTGACGTCCTATCCCTCTCTCCCATCCCTTCCCATGGTGTAGATCTCCCCTCTATTCGCACAATCGGATGTCGTAGCATGATATAGCATTACGTGGCATAGCATAGTGTTGAAGATCAACGCGTAGCGTGAATAGCATGGCGTGGCGACGCCCCAAAATGGGGGGGAGCTTCTGCGGCCCGGGAGAGAGGGGGGAGTGGAACGAGGCGGAGTCTCGAGAGAATCGGCTCCACGGAGCCGCCACGACTGCTCGAGCGAGGGATCACTCGTGGAGAAGGGTCGGCGGCAGTAGCCAGCGGCCGCTGCGGGCATTTGCGGTATGCCCGCGCCACCCCCCAGGCAGCGCCCCGTGTGCCCGAGGTGCTGGGGGCCGCTTGGTTTTGTGGCGCGACCCGCCCCGCACGCACGACCCTGGCCCGCAGCCCCAACCCTCTTCGCGGGGGACGTCACCTGACCCTCACTGGCTCGGCCGCTTGGCCAGGGAAGCGTGAAACACCTGTCCTGGGCTCAGGGTGGGCCTGGCCAGGATCGGTGAGATGGTCAGTTGACGTCCCCCGAACGTCTGCCTCGCGTCCTCCTCCGCAGGACCTCTTCCTCCGCCCCTCTTCCGCCTCCGCCCACCTACCGCCTCCGAAAGAGACGACGACGGAGAAAGCGACGGCGACGACGACGACGGCCTCAGAGGACGAAAACCGAGACAAAAGGACTCGAACATCGACGCTGACGACGACGACGACGACGACGACGACGACGACGACGACGACGACGACGACGGCGACGGCGACGACGGCGGCGGCGGCGGCGGCGGCGGCGGCGACGGCGACGGCGACGGCGACGGCGACGAGGGCGAGGAGCGCAGATTCGCGGGGCGATTAGAGGCCGCCGCCGCTAACGCCGGGCCAGCCCCCGTCAGAGCTGGAGCTGCCTGTCCCTCGTCTTCGCCAACTTGTCCTGCAGAGCGGGAACGTCAGGGGGGGACGGGCTCAGGGGGGGAAGCATCGACTTGGAATCCGCGATGCATCGCCGATAGACCGGCGATAGGCTCCCGATAGGGAAACCGCACAGTCCTGGGCGGGGCGGGCTATCGGGCCACTATCGGGGGGTCGATGGGGGGCCGATGCATGCCCCCCTGAGCCTGTCCCTTCTACCGTTGCCCCTGACCTGCTCCCGCGACCGACGGGGAGTATCCAATTCGATCGCACCGAACAAAACTAGGTCGGATCGAACACCCAACCTGGCCGTGGAACGACAGATTTCTGGCCCAGCACTTCCCACCCGGGCTGGACGAAGAGAGGGGTAAAGTTAGGTCGGGCATGTCCCCCTACAGGCGGAGATTGAGCCAAAAATGCAAATACTCAAAAAATACGATGAAAATCAAAAAATACTCAAAAGTTCGTCCCAAACTATCTTTTAAACTATTGTTGAATATTCCTCCTGTGGCAGAACGGGCCAGACTTAACAATAAAGGGGGGCACCGAATCCGCTCACGCAGCTCGTGATTCTGGCGCCCCACGGTGCCCGAGACGCCGCTGCATCGAGGGAAACGCCCAGCGGCGAGGCCGAGACCGGCTGCCGACAGCAGATCTCGTACGGCAGGTTTGTGTCAGGTCGGGCGTGTCCTCCTGCATGCGGATTTGGGACGAATCATAAGAAGCACAGCAAATGCTCAACAACAATAATCAAAAGTAGTCGAGATCTCGTCCCAAAACTATTCTTGGCTAGTTTTGAATATTCCTCCTGTCGAGGGACATGCCCGACTTTAAGGTTTGTGTCGTGACGACCTGCGCGTGGGTTTCTGACACCGCGTGAATCGGCTGCTTTTCGATCGCCAACTCGTTCCATTCTGGGCTACCCTGTGCCACAGGCAGCGCCGAACGCTCGCCCCGTCGATACTACACGAAACTGCCGCAACCTCGGGATCCCGAAACGAAGCGGGGAAGGACCGTGCGGCGACCTCGGAATCCGCAGAGACCTGACCGCACGGCCCGCTACCGCACGGTGTTGGGACCTTGGAGGTCCCCGAGACGTCCTCGGAGATGGACCCAAATCCCAGAACTGTGCGGTCACCTCGAGCCCCCACTGACTCACCACACGGTGTGGCCACCACACCTCCTTAACCATTCTGGCTCAAGGCCATGGCACCCTCCCGTAAGGTGCAGGTCTCGACGAGGCGCTCTGAGCACCAAGGGAGGTGCTTGGCAGATCCAAAAAATCTGCACAGACGAACAGCTTCCAGGCCCGACGTGGGCTCGTATCGGCGCGTGGGGCGCATGGATGGCGGGCAACGGCAGCGGCTGGCAGCTGGTTCCTGGCGAGAATGGCTAGAACGTCACGTTCGGCAGCGGGCACGGCGGCGCGGGGGCGCGGTGGCCCAAGCTGGGCGAGGCAGCGCAGTGGACGTGTGGCGCCTGCGGCACGGGTGCGACCTGGGGCTCGCGCCCGGAGTGTCGCAAGTGCGGGAAGCAGAGGCCGAAGGCGCACGAGGGGCGCGGTGTGGCCCAGCCGCCCAACCCCGAGCTCGAGGCAGACCTCAAGGCGGCGTTCAAGCAGATGAGAGCGCAGCGGCCACAGCGCCGGCGGAGTGGGCCGAGGTGTGGCAAGGAGGCCAGCCGGTGGAGGAGGAGGAGCGACCGTGGCTTACGACTTCACGCGAGCCCCTCGCGACGATGGAGCCGTCGGCGCTGCGGTCCTTGGCTGGCATCCGTCCGTGCTCGACGGCGTCTCGGACGAGGGTGTCAATGCAGTGCTGGGGGTACTGGAAGAGACGGAGCGCACCCTGATTCGGGGACGGACAGACCTCCCTTTAGTAAAACGTGGTTTAGTGAAAACGACCTCGGGCCCAAACCTGGCCGGCGCAAGCCTGGAAAAGCACGGCCGCGGCGCCCTCTCGAGAACCGAAAACGGATAATTCACTAATCGACGTGTCAGGGTAGGAGGTCTGTCCACCCCCGACTGATATGGCCCACCCAGGCGGACCGCATTGTGGTGCTCCTTATCCCCAAGTCCGCCACCAAGGACAGGACGATCGGCTTGCTGTCGACCTTGGTGCGCGTGTGAGAGTAGATGCGCGCTCCATGCCTCCAGCGATGGTGTCGAGAGCATCCTCGCAGTTGGGATCGCAGCACGCACGGCCGCGGTGGGGAGTCGGCGGCGTGGAAGGCGTTGGCGGCACATGAGGCGGTTGACCCACGCTCCGAGGATCCCGATCTCGATGCGGTGGTCACGGCCATTATGGACTTGATAAAGGTATTTGAGAAGAAGCCCTTGGTCAAGCTGTGGCAGGCGGGCTTCCGCTGGAGCTTCCCGCCGTCCATCCTCGCTGTGGTGATGCCCAATTTCCCATGGCCAGGGCCCTAGTCGTTGACGGCTGCTTCGCGGACGAGGTGGAGACCCAAACGGCCATTGTGGCAGGCAGCGAGTACTCCGTGGCCTTGCTTCGCATTCTGCTGATGGAAGGAATGGATTGCCTGGTCGCGCGCTAACCGAGCGTCGACTAGAAGCTGTATGTGGACGACCTCTGCGCGCAGCAGCGAGGGGAGCAAAGGCCCTAGTCGACGAAGCTCTGGGAGTGGCAGAGGCGGCCATGGCCGAATTTGCCAAGGTGGACCTGGCCTTTTCAGCCGGCCAAGATGGCAAGTGCTACCAGGTGGCCAGCACGCCGTGGCTGCGGAACGCGCTGAAGCCCATCATGAAGCGCAAAAGGATCCAGGTGCAGGCGACGGGGGTGCACCTCGGGGTCGACATGCCGATGGCGCCATGAGCAAGCGGCAGCGACGGGGCGCGGCTTTGGACAACCGCACCAAGCGGCTGGTCGGACTCCGACGCCAAGGCAAGCACATGGCGAAAAGGGTGGTCTCGGTCTTCCGTGCGGGGCCAAAGCCGTGCTGCACGTATGGCGCCAAGTGTCTGGGGATGTTTGACAGACACCTGCTGGCACTCGTGCGGGCTGCGGCCAAGTCGCTGCGCAGCAAGGTCGGCCAGGCTTCACTAACGCTGTTGCTCGCCACCACGAGCATACAGGGCGACCCCATCTATGAGGTCTCGGCGGCGCCTGTGGTCGAGTGGGCCACGACGGTCTGGGACAGCTCCCTCGCGCCTGAGGTTCTGGCTCGGGCCTGGCGCAGGCAGCAGCGCGAGGTGGGCATGGGAGGCGGCTGTCAAGCAGTTCGCGGTCCAGCAAGCGCCTGCATCATGTCGCTCAAGGACGCCGGCTGGAGCTGGCCAGCCTGGGACGTGTTCCGCACGCGCGCCCAGCTGGAGGTGCGGCTGGCCGAGGTCTGCCCCATGGACGTCCAGGCCTTGTTCAAGGAGGAACTCGAGTGCGAGCTGTGGGCGAAACGCGCCAAGAGGCCGACCTGGCCCAGGTAGCCCCCGTGGCCCTTGCTAACGCCGATCGTGGCCAAACTGCCGCGCAGGCTTACCGCAGAGTGGGGCACGCACGCTGCTAACCCGGCACAGCAGGCGATGATACACGGGCCGTGGACGCAGGACGAGCTGCACAAGATAGGCAAGGCGCCTTCCCCTGTGTGTCAGGCCTGTGAACGTGAAATAAGCACTGCCCAGAACCGCTACTAGAGGTGCTGCGGGGCGGCCGCCCACAGGCTGGAAGCCCCACGCAGGTGGCAGCACGTGGCAGAGCAGGAGCTGCACAGTCTGGTCTGGACCCAAGGCTTGATCCGACACCCAGCTGCGGACTGGGCCTTCCAGCCAGTGAAGGAGCACGTGCATTGGCATGTCGAGCCTCAGCCTGGGGGGCATTTGGCCGCCCGCGGCGACGAGGCCGAGCCGCCCAGCGAGAGCGCTGGGGCCCCAATGGTGGGCGCTGTAGCGGACCCGCGTGATTGCGAGGACGAGGAGGACGTCTTCGGCTGCGGCGGCGGCCTCGACGAGCCGGAGGCGCTGCTGAGGAAGGCCCAGGAGACGGAGCGGCGGCCGCCGGAGGAGCGGGCGGCGGAGCCGCCGCCGAGGCCGCCGGGACTGCCCAGGAGGCCGCCGCGCCCCCCCCCCGCTGGCGGCAGATTTCAGCAGAAGTGACCCATGCAAGGCAAGGTATCGGTCACTTTTGGGTTGGGCGCCGGCCGTGGCTGCCTGAGGGGCCGCGGGGGCCGCTGCTGCACGCTGGCGCGAGCGCTCAGGCTGTCGGCGGAAAGCGGCGCGATGAGCCGCCCGCCGCCGCCAGGCCGCCTCAGGGCCGCCGCCCGGGCACCCGGGCGCAGACTTGACCACTCAGCTCAATATTCCCGCCCCGGGCCCGCCGGGGCCGCCGCCGGGGCGCCGCGGCCGGGCCTGATCCCATGGAGGCTGACCAGGCCCTGCCAGCGCGATTCTGGTAGCGCTGCCGCTGGCCCGGCCGACGCTTCGCTCGCGCTGGCGGGCGGCGCCGACGCTGGCCGGCAACGCGGGCGCCGGCGGCCCCGCCGACGGCTCCGGCGTGGCCCCCGACGGCCCCGAAGGCAGCCCACAGACCACTGACCACAAAACCCCGTTTGTGATCAGTGGGTGTCGGGGTGCCCTTGAGCGTCCCCTGGCGGCAGGCGCGGCCCGGGCGCCCGCTGGCGAGGGCGGCGCGCCCGCCGGCGGGGCGCCGGCAGCGTGCCGGAGCGATGGGTCGCCGCGCTCGCCCTGGCACCCGCGGCAGCCCCGGCCGCCCGCCCGGCGGCCCCTGCGGGCGGGGCCGTTGCCGAAGCCTCTGGGGCAGCCGCTCCTCAGCACTCTCATGCGAGCGGCGAGCCCGTGGTGCAGCCGCCCTCCGGCACGGGGTTGGAGTTCGAGGGCGTGGTCGTGTGCAACGGCTCCATGCTGGGACGGTCCCCGCGGGTCCAGACGGGCTGGGCGGCCCTGTCGGTCGACGTCGAGGGCCGCGCGAGGGTCCAGGCTTGGGGCCCCGTGCCTGTGGCCTTGCCAGTGCAGAGGACCATCAAGCGAGCGGAGCTCTGGGCCTTCCTGCAGGT